GTCGTCTGTGCAGTGGTTATAATCAGAATTTACCAGCATAGAACCTGCATCTGAAATGCTATTTTTGCCGTGACTGCGTGTGAGGTTTGGGGTCTTTGCCTTGAAGGCGTGTGTTTTTCACTGGAGTTCTGAGGCCTGAGATATTTTTTTTTTTCAGAGCCATCAAAATCGCTGAGACTGACTGCGTCGCTCGTTTTTCACAGCAAGATCGCGCGTCCAGTAAAAATCTGTTAAAGTGAGTTGTGTGTTTGGCATGAGTGGAAATTCCTCACACTCTGCTACCGGTGCTTCGCGTACCGGGACGTTGAGTAGGAGGCCCGATATTTGTTTGGTCTCCTCCTGCTGATCGAAGGGCATCCTCACAGTCTGTGTTTTCAGGCGGTGGTTTACCCGATTTTACCAGCTACAGCAAGGCTGTGCCCTGGAGGTTTTTTCCTCCTCCGCAGGTCCCTTTGTGGATCCTTCCTCTCACGGCGCCGGGTTTGCCTCTGAGGGCTTTGGTCGTAGGACTGTCAGGGCAAACAAACTCATCTCTTCTGGGAACCCCCGTTCCCAGCCGCGGCTCTCCCACTAATTTGGGTCAGGCCGAGGCTCAGGCTAATTGCACCGGGCCTCCTCTGGAGCCTCGGGCACTGATTGCCAACAGGGTGCTGGCAGCCAAGCCTTCGATCTCGGAGTAGGGCTTTCAGGGCAGGGCACACGTTGACCCCCCCCTACTTTCAGCCAGCCAGGGTTCGTCACACGGTAATGGTACAATGGTAACGAATTTACCCTTGTGTCTGGTCTCCGCTGTGGGTTTTAACTCCCTTCTTACTGACCCACGAGCGTCTCACATATTTAAAGTGAAAATGAGACACAGTTCGCTCGCGTTGGATACAGCCGGTACCTCGGGAGGTCCCTCAGAGTCTTCCATCCGTAAAGACTCGGTGAGCCATGCTTTTGGGATGATACGAAGTTCCATCAATCTTAGTGATAGGATCAGGGGTATTTACATCGTAAGGCGACCACTTTCAGTTGCTTCAACACTTATGGGATCACGGGCGTTGGGATCCAAAGCAACCCCGTCGGCACGTCTCTCCCTGTCCGTCCGAGTGCGGAGTGTCATACATGGCGCGCAAATGGTGTTGATGAGCGGACGTTGGTCAGCTGCGGAGGAGGTAATGCTTAAGGCCCCTGGGTGGGGTAAAATCTTATGCAACGCTTCCCGGTCGGTGTGGTTTCGGGATCAGTCCCCAAAGTGTGGGATGAGACCAAAATACCCCCAACCGGATCCCAAGGCTCCTTCCCCAGACCCCGGTACCACGAATTTTCTGTTGGACAGTCCGGGTAAAGAGGGACAGTCGCGTTCCATGGGCGTTCTCGCCAGCTCAATCTGAGACGATCCGTCACGCCCTGAGGGCAGAGTTGCTTGAGCGCATTATTGTGCGCGCCCAGAACTCTGAGACCTCGGAGGCAGAACGCACCAACCTCCTAGACCAGGCGACCCATTTATTGGTGGGCCACATCTACGTGCGACATCCCCTAGTGTCACCTGGCTCTCTAGGCCAACAGACTCACTTTGTTAGAATCAAACAGACTCACTGTGTTAGAATCAAACAGACTCACTGTGTTAGAATCAAACAGACTCACTGTGTTAGAATCAAACAGACTCACTGTGTTAGAATCAAACAGACTCACTGTGTTAGAATCAAACAGACTCACTGTGTTAGAATCAAACAGACTCACTGTGTTAGAATCAAATAGACTCACTGTGTTAGAATCAAACAGACTCACTGTGTTAGAATCAAACAGACTCACTGTGTTAGAATCAAACAGACTCACTGTGTTAGAATCAAACAGACTCACTGTCCTTGTTCAGATGCAGTACGAAACAAGGTCTTATGAATTGATTTTCGTGTGTGTTGGACATGGCTGGGCCAATTACATTCAAATTCATATGTTACACAATCTGAACCTGTATTTGTTTTGTTAGTCCCCGTTCGGAAATCATTTTCATGGTTTTAATTTCGCAAAGAGTCAAAAAGCGTGAAATTAAAACCACGCGAAAATTCTGTGTTGTAGTGTAGAACACAATACCCAAGTTAAAACAACACTCACTCCTGACCCATGATCTTACAAGTTTTACTGTAGTCATTAACACCTATTCAAGAGTATGTTTATTGTGGTTAGCATGGGTAAAACTTTGTTTCGACCATCACCTGTTATCACTGTGAACAATGTTTGTTAGTTTTCAGATGTTCAGTTTATTTTTGATTTAAAAAAAAAATTCATGCCTGTTTTCCTATCAAAATCAAAGGTAAAGATCGTACTAAAACATCGGCAAATCTCTTCCCTGTTGCGTTATTACCATTAACTTATTCAAATGAGCTATGGTAATTTGAACACATTGGCATCATCCAGCATTTTGATTGGTTGATTAGCGTTAGGATAAAAAAGTGGCGGATATTGTATCGCATCGAGCATTTACATTTACCACTGATCAATTTGTATTGGACATTTTTCCCGTTGATCGGCGGTTAACACTTATGTTTTCAAAGGGATGATAGTTTTTTGTATAACTTTGTAGGTAGGCTGCACATTATTTACGTAGTATTTAAAATAAAGGATACATTAAATAGGTGCCAGACTGCAATGAGCTGCAAATAGTTGTGTAATATTGGTAGGCGTGCAGGAAATAACTGTCCTGTTGGAGGCTGCACGTGTTGGAAATTAACATGACATTGACTGACTACCTCGTGTGGTGTGACCCTTTGTTTGTTTTTTCAACAATCTACGCAATTTAAACACCGCGAAATACTTGGTCAGCTCAAAACCAC